CTGAAATATTGCACAATATGATGCATTAAAAAGGTTTCTTTCCGCTTTAATTATAATAAATAGCTTTAATATAATTGGATCAGAAAAATTATAGTTTATAGAAGATGTTTTGGATTGTTTTTATGCGTATTAAGTAGTTCATATTTAAGTTATGTAAGTAATTTAATACCTTACAAAAATTTAAGAAATACATTTATTTCACTATCAATCACTTAATGATGTTGGATTTTGAAAAATACTCTTAAGTCTACTTAAATTTGCAAAAGAGTTTTGCTTATTTTCAGCAATGTAAGTCTTTTTTGATTCGACATAAGTAAACGTAAGTTACAATGCTTCGGTAATATGAATAACTTCTAATCAGAAAAAAATTAAGATGCGCAATATACTTTAGGTATTTATTGATATTCTTGCTGACCGGCCTGTGTAGGGAGCAGGGAACTGTCCTTGCATCAGAAAGGTCCTGGGTTCGAATTCCGGACAAGGCATGGATGTTTCTTTCTCTCCCTGTTCTATGTCCTTTCTCCTTTGTGTGTGAATGTTACCCGTCCTATAAACGGGTTGTGGTTGTGTGAATGGCATGGCAGAAGTCGAATTCCTGGCCATAGATGGCGCCACTGAAAAACAGGANTCTGCAACTATGTTCAAGTAGCTAACAGACGTCAGGGATTGTTCTTATGGGTCCAAATGTGCACCATGAAAACATTGTTCCTGGGCGAGAAACCATAAAACCCTGGGCGAGCCCATTGTTATAGATGGAGGGTGGTCATAATGTAATGGCTCTTCGGTGTACTTTAGGTATTTATTGATATTCTTCTGGTTTTGATAGTATTTTGAAGAGTTATCAAGAACCAATTTTCAATATTAAGGCAAAACTCTACTCAAAGTTTACAATTCTGAAGAAAAAAAAATGTACAATTTTTTCTTACGCAAAGAAATTTATTCAAAACCATATGAAAGTGGGATTTTTTTTTCACAGTAGGCCAAAAGCTTTTAACAAATAAATGTTGTAAGTTTATGTAAATTAATTTTGTAAGTTCATATTAAACATTTACTGATATTTTATTAGTAAAATTCCAACTTGAATTTCAAAAATTCTTTAACTTTGATATTCACAGTTGAATATATTATCATTCAATAAATCCCAATGTTTTTCAAGAAATTGGATTCCAGTTGATTATAAATTTACAATTTCGTTTAAAATGTAAAGAAGATAAATAAGGGAAAGCTTAATATACTTATTATTTAGCAAATACAATAAAATATGTATAGTATATATATTTCTGTACTTAAGCACTATAATAAAAATTAATTTCTAACATAAAAACTGGGCAAATAGGAAACATGCATATTGCATCTATACATTCAGTACTTAATACAATAAAATTTCTTTTTACTTAAAATTGGACAAGTAGGAAACATGCACAGTGTATCAATATTTTCTTACAATACTAAAAATACTTCATATAAAACCTGGACAAATATGAAACACGTGTAGTAATTTAGTAATTAAATAAAAATATAAATTTATAAAGTAAATGAATTTAAAAAAGAAAATAAATTTATAAATTTATTTAAAATGATAAAAATGTTTAAATATAAAACTGGAATATTTATACAATATCTAATATAAAATTTGGACAAATAGAAAAGATGTTTAGTATTTCAATTTTTAATTACAATAAAGATAACTTATATGAAAAGTGGACAAATATGAAACATGTATAGTAATTTAGTAATTAACTGTGATAAAAAAAAATTTATTACAAGAAAAATTTCTTACACTTTTGTTTGTGTTTTGCTATCACTTGAAATATTTTTAATTTATATTTCTAGCATATAATTATTCTATCAAATTTCATTTGAAAACACTTTTTTGCTAAAAGAGAGACGATTTAAATATTACTCGAATTAAGAAACAATAAATAAAAATCATAAGAAAACTGGACCACAAACAGATTAGATTATGAGTAGATAGATACGTCTTGTTTTATTTTGAGTCACTAAATCCCCAAAACACCCAATGACTCAGAAAAATTGGCCTCAGTTTGAAAAAAAAAAAGAGAAAAAAAGTCAGTGACCATGACCTTGTGAAACGGATGTCCTACCCCACAGTCATAAGTCAAAATAGAACAAAAAAATCTCGAACAAGGAAAGGAAGAAGTTACACCTCTATTTTTTTCTTTCTATATCTAGAAAAAAAAGTTGCCAGAACAAAGTAGTGGCCAGCTCTTAGCAGGTGTGAAGTATAGAATAAAACTTATGGTCCTACGCACCCGGAAGTTTTAAGTCCGTTTCATGCTTTGCGCCTCAGTAAATTTGTTATTAGCGAAGTAAAAACATTGTTTAGAAAAACGTTAAAGTTTTTTTTTTTTTTTTTTTTTTTTATTTTNTTTTTTTTTTTTTTTTTTTGAAAAAAATACTATTTTAATTTTGTTTATTAACAGTAAAAAAAAACAATACTTATTATGACAGTGTTTTTGTTATTGCATTAACAAACGACAGTGAAAAATAATATTTATAATGATCATGTCAGTCTTATTGGAGTTCCATCATTTTTAATTGAGTTGCATATTAATTAGTAGCTAATGTACAATTTCTCCAAAAATATAATTGGAAATAAAGTAAAAAACAGAAAATATTGTTAGACTAATTAATGAATAAATAAGTGATTTTTTGACAATATAAATATTATATTTATAAGGTCAAATATTGTCAATTGATTTCTGACATTATAAATATTATGTCAGATGTGATATTGTCAATTGATTTCTGACATTATAAATATTATAAAACATAAATATAAATAATGCTTCAACTTAATAAACTTAAAAATGATTAAAAAAAAACTTTATAATAATATTTTAATGAATGGTATTATTTGCTTTAAGCATAACTAGATTCATAATATTTGAACATGAAAATTGATTATTTTGAAACATATAAAATAGAAAACTAGTTTGTTTGACAACAAATGAATTTCATGAAATTACTGCTGTCATAAAAATTATTTTGTTCAACAACAATCATGACAAAATCCAAATATTTTGTGCTTAAAAACTAATCCAATCAGCGTAATGGTGTGAAATTAACATTTTACATGCTTAGCTGTTTTCATAGTAATTTATTACCTTCGATTCTACTGTTTGGGGGTGCTGTATTTGTTTTATTTTGTTAAAATTTATAAAAACGGGTGACTTAAATAGAAAATTTAAAATTTTTAGTCAGGATGTATTTTAATACCTTATACTCAAACATTCTTAGAAAATTGATTTTTATGTTATCGAACTACGTATTTTATTAATATTTAATTTTTCATTAAAACACTTATAATATATTTTATAATTCTACTCCAAGAAAATTTTTTTTTGATGAAAGCTACCAAAATATGGTAAAATTTACCTTATTTCTAATTCTAAGAGAATACCGAACAGCTCAGTTAATTTTACCAAAGTGCTAGGGTTATGATTTTGGTAAAACTAACGATAAAATTTAAGGTTTTACAATGTGTGATAAAATTTGGTACGTGTGGTAAAATTTGGTAATTATATCTTGATACCTTTGACGTAAATTAATCTACTTTTCAGATTTGTATTTGTTACTAAATGTGTGGTAATACTAATTGTAATTTTGAAAACCTAAAATTCCAATAAACCGTTGTTTAAGTAACGAAAATATGACCAAATGAATGATTTTAATACTACATATTTCAGTTTTATTAACCAAAGTTAGGTTTTCTTTTAGACAAAAATATACAGTTAGGTTTTTTGGAAATTTCTTCTTCGTGTAGGCTATGGCCTAAACATTTTCTTGTAATAACTGTGAAAGTTTAATCTTATATGACTTTTTTGTTACCAAGTTAGTGGTCGTTATCCAATTTTCGTTTACTGTTTTTGGTGAGTTATTAAACTGTGATTTCGATTTGAACTGTTACACAGTTTATGTTTACGCTTGGTTGGAAAAGTTAATAATAGTATGTGAACGATAGTTGACAGAAAACTCGTGTCACTATAAAATGAATTAATAACTGTTTATTTCGTACTTGGTATTTTAAGTTTACCTTACTCGAATTTAACCTGTTACGGAACAATGCATTTTCTTAATTCTGTTCTATTTTCCAATCGTTAAATCAAGCACGACCCCCTTGATGTTGTGTTTTATTGCATTTATGGCAATTTTCTAGTTTTAGAGCACGGTTCTGTCGTTTTATTACTTTATAAAACAGAGAAACACATATGGTTTTTGTTTACTGGCTATTAGTTCTTGATTATTAGGTATTGTTTTCACGTAAATTGTTTATAAATTTCTATAATTTCACGTAATTTATTTTTTCTTAAATTATACCCTTAAGGACTTTGTATTAGGACAAGTTTATTTAGTGAGTTTTCGTTTGATTTCTTTAATTAAAATATCATCTCCTCATATATTTAGCCATATTAAAGATAATTGTCTCGAGTGGAGTCGTGGTGGCTCAGGTGATAGAGCGTTCGCCTCTTAATGAGATGACCCGGGTTCGAATCCCAGTAATGGCCGGTTGATACGAATTCCGCACCCGGCTTGCATCGACCACAGTGCTGACATTAAATATCATAAGCGCTAGACGGATCATAGATTAGAGTCCCCTTGCCATCAGGCTTACTAAGAGAAGTTTTCGTGGTTTTCTTCCCCATGTAACGCATATGTGGGCTAGTTCTTTGTTAAAAATAAGTCCCCCACGTATGCAAAATTTTCCCAATACTCGATCCAGGAGTTACCTTATCCTCTGCATTGGGTTCACAAAGCAACGGAGTAGGACATTGATAGTCGTATACAGAAAATTTGGTCGGCTGTTCGACAACGATTATAAAAAAAATATTAAATGGCTCGAATCAGTAGAAGTTTTTATGTCAAAAACTATGAGGTGCAAAATGTTTTGTAAAATTTTTTTTGTTTACTCTACTTATAAATTTGTTTTCTTATTATATTTTTGAATGATAATCTTATTTTCCCCCTTTTATTTCCAGAGTTCATTGATTGCTCAAGATAACGATCTCTTTCGTCAGTTGTTGTCGCTCCATGACTCAATAGCAGAATTGAGAGAACGTCAACGACATAGTGCCCTATGCATGGATGACGAAGATGAAGACGAGGAAGAGGACATTGAAATCAGTCGATGCGTTGGAAATCGGAGCACTGAAAGCAACTCTCCAAGTCTCGAGTCGCTCTCTGATCCCGGAGAGCTTCCAGAAACGTCTCCAGAATCCACACTTTCCTCCCGCTCTAGTCTATCCGGTACCAGTTCCGATTCCTGCAAGCAACATATTTACAAAAGTTGCGGTAATCATCACCGTAATCGGTATCGGAAAGATGACAAGCATAGATATAGGGCGAATAACAAAAATCCCAACGATTCTAGGCCACTTGTATTTATAGACAAATCTGAGATTTGCTTCAGGTGTCGGAAAATGGCGCCTCCATATCGAAGATCTAGTTCGATCACAAGTTTATATTACTTGCACGAGGACATGGAATCTTACGATTCGGGTATACATCTGCAAGGTTCGCACTCTGATTCAGATCATGAAATATTCGTGTGAAAACTCTGTGCTTACTATATGTGTGCTTGTTGTGAATGTCTGATAGTCAGTGCAATTTTTTTTCTAAATTTGCAATTAAAGACAATCCTAGAGCCTGTCATGCTGTTTAGATTAGTTATGTAAATAGTTATTGTCATGTGAGTCTTGTTTGTGCATTGCGCATATCTTCAAACAAATCAACATTATTTGTATGAGTGCTTGTATTTGGATCATGATGTACGCAATAAAGAATTTTTATAAGACTTGTATTCATTCTCTATTTAAATTAATGTGTGTAAATCTGCCTTCATTCCTTACTTTCAGTCAATGCACAAGATACATAAACTTGCCTTTATACATTATTTTCAATTGATACATGAGCCTGCCTTCATTCATCTATTACAATTAATAAAAATATACATAAACCTACATCCACTCTTTACGTTCAACTAATGCACAAGATAGTTACATAAATTTAACTTCATTCATTATTTTCAATTGATACATAAGATACATGTACCTGCCTTCCTTCCTCTATACCAGTTAATAAAGATATACATAAACTTGCCTTCCTTCCTTATTTTTAATCAATAAATAAAATGTAGAATTCTATGTCCATTCTTCATATTTTCAGTTAGTGTAAAATACAGAAAACCCTCCATTAGTTTTATATTTTTAATTAAAACATAAACCAAAAACTTAAAAAATAAGCTTATAATAGCAAATAAGGATGCAGCAATGGAAAAAGTGCTGGTACTCCTGTTCAAGTTTAAGTAGGAAAAAACCCAGTGCAAAACTCAATTATTTAAAATTAAACATCTGAAAACTGAAAAAAAAGCAAGGTGTTTTTATAATTGTTGAATTATTAAAATATGTTAAGCTACGTTAAATAAAGTTTGCTTTCATTAATTTTTTCATATTTAATCGTTCTGTACTTTCTCATTGCCTTTACTATGCCTTTAAAAATTATCTAATTACCTTTACCTATTTCAAATTTAAAACATCAAAACGATTTAACTTAATATATTTCAATATAAAGCTGAAATTAAAATTTTGCTTAGAAATTTAAAGATAATTTTTTTGCAAATTATTATGAGGGAAAATATTAATAGTAAATTAAGATGATAAAAAGTAGATTGAGAGCCTTGGTAGAAAGGCCACGCAATTTTGACCTTTGTTAGACGAAGTGGACAATGCCTAAGCTGCAAATTTCTCTAAGCTTCTACACTTCAACTAAAAGAGGTTTTTCAGTCACGATAAATTTAACGTGCATATTCCTGCGTATGCACACTGATTGTTTTGCCGGCAGCCAGAATCTAACTCACTACCCCCAGCCATGTGAGCGACGCTGCACTGTTAGAATTTCCATTCTAAAATTATGGTAAAATAACGGATTGAATCCTAGTAACCGTAAATTTTACGTTGAAGAACATTTTTTTACTTTTAATGTTTTGAAACCGTTAAATCTACTATGGTTAAAAAAACAAAAATACTAAATCCTGCGGTTTTTTAACCATTTCCAACTAGCATAGTTACAAAACCGTGAAAAAGAAATTTAACTGGATATTAAATAGAGTTTAGAAGAGGAGGCGAATCGTACTCTAATAGTTCTGGGTCACAAATTGTAGAGTGCTGGACACTGAAAACTCTCCGTGATTTGAAAGTTACGAAGGTAATAATGCGGCTCAAACCCTGTGGCTCGAACCCCCGTTCTGTCGGTCATAAGATTGACATATTAGCCCTCACAGCTAAAATATGTATCCATCTGCAAAGGAGAAAGTGACTTCATTATGTGAACCTAACTGGTACGATAAAGTTCTGGTTGTTTAACCATATAAGGTGAAGGCAGTCATTAAGTAATTTTTCTAGCAATTAGCTGTTTGAATACCATCTAATTTATGGTTATTTGAGTGTTTTACTTTAATATGGTGAAATAATTAAATAAATTGTTATTCAACCATTTTTTCGTGAAATTAATATACACGATATAGTGTGATCCGCCAACAAACCAGGCAATCAGTATTTCACGATAGTTTGGCTCATGCTTACAAAGTTTTTCTCTTTGCTTAATGCTTACATTATCTGGACATAATATGATTCTAATTAGTTATGCAACGTATGTAATGAAAATTACTGTAATCGAATAAAAAATATAAGATAAAATTCCTTAATTCCTTTTAATATTTTTTTAAAATTTTTTAAAGATAGAGAGGAATATATATTTTTCTTTTCGGCAGAAAAATAATAATTTGACAATGCTTTCACCAAAACACATTCTTTTCTCCGAATTTACTACCACATTTGGTGAGGAGGTAAATGTTTAGCCAGGGCCGTGAATATGGATGTGGTTGAAAATAATTGTCTAGACTTTTAAATGGAAAAATTACAATAAATTTAAATGAAAATTTTTTCCCTTGGTTAAAATTGTGTTAAAATCACTGAATTATCCCCCAGTTTCGCATTTTTTATGAAGCTAAGCACTAAAGTATTGTAGCAAATTTTTAAATATTAAAAATCAAATAATTTCCTTCTTATTCACATTTGTGAACGGAAACTAGCAAAATACAAACTAAGTTTAAGTTACAAGTCATAATAAAATTCTGTTACTAATTCCCACTGTTATAAAAATCACACGTTTTTCGTAAAAATGTTTTTTTTTTCAGACATCAACCAGACCTGTAAAGAACAACCTTATACCGGAATTAAAAAAAAATAATTATAAATTATTTACATGATTCACCTGAACAAGCAAAAAATTCAATACATACATATTTTCTAATTACACCAATTATTACATATTATTTTACAGTTCCATTTTCCTCCTTGTTTAATAATTGTTTAATGAATGTTTAATGAATCCTCCTTGTTTAATGAATTTTCCTCCTTGTTTAATTTTTCTGAATAATTATTTATATAATTATAAATTTAATTTTTCATTAAATCGTTATTGTTGATGATATAAAAATAAACAAGGATGTAAAATTTAAGCAAATTGCTTGAAAATTACAATCTATATTCCCTCTGATAATTATATAGTTTAATTTAATCTCTCTGAACTGAGGTATTTTTTCCGAATCTTATACCGGAACGATGTTTTTTCAGACATATAAAATTACCTACAAAAGTTCTACAAAATCACTGATAAATTATGCATCACAACAGGAAGGAAAATTTAAAAAAAAAACTGTCTAGTACAGAAAGCTTGCCAATAGTCAAATTCACATTTTTTAAAGAAAATTTAGGTAGCGGAAGATTTTCCGAACTGCACTAGAAAATGAAAAATATTTGTGATCATAAATATGTTTTCATGCGTGAAATATGAACAAGAAATGCCAGTATTTCATCTTATCTTAAAAGCTTCTATGTTCAGATTAAAAAAACGTGACTATAGATGATTCATAATGAAAACTCTTTTGGTGATGTATTTATAAAATACATGTTTAGTATTCTACGTGCATAATTTTCATTGCGCAGATAATGTGAGAAGGAATTTAGCTGGAATTCGAATACTAAAATTAAGTTTCATAATAACGGAAGCGGTAATTTAGTCGGGTTTTGGTTACATAAAAGCAGTTATATAAATATTCAGATACCGCTTATCTATTCTTTTTACGGCAAAAATATTAAAATAAATCGAAAACAAGACAATTTAGACTTACTTAAATAGCGTTCAAATACGCTCTATTAGATAAAAATAAATACACGTGAAAATGAATAAAATTTTCAAAAAAATGAATTAAAAAAATATTATTAAAAATTATGCTTTTTCGTAGTAAAATTTTTCCAACCTACACAATCGTTACTTTTTTTTATGATGTGTTGATTTATTTATTTTAATTTTGATATTTGCATGTAAATTGTATAATACTTTTTTAAAAGCTCTGAATTCCTAAAAGTTTGTGCTTAAAAAAATCCATTTTTGAATTTATTTATAATATCAGCTTATTATTTAATGATTTGAAAAAACTAGTTTAATTCAATTTTTATACATACAACTAGGGACGGGAGGTCCAATCCCTGCTCACGATCGCTTGACACTAGTTTAATTCAATTTTTACACATACAACAGGGCGCGGGAGATCCAATCCCTGCTCACGATAGCTTGACACTAGTTTAATTCAATTTTTATACATACAACTAGGGACAGGAGGTCCAATCCCTGCTCACGATCGCTTGACACTAGTTTAATTCAATTTTTATACATGAAACTAGGGGCGGGAGGTCCAATCTCTGCTCACGATCGCTTGACACTAGTTAAATTCTATTTTTATACATACAACTAGGGGCGGGAGGTCCAATCCCTGCTCACGATCGCTTGACACTAGTTTAATTCAATTTTTATACATACAACTAGGGACGGGAGGTCCAATCCCTGATCACGATCGCTTGACACTAGTTTAATTCAATTTTTATACATACAACTAGGCGCGGGAGGTCCAATCTATGCTCACGATCACTTGACGCTAGTTTAATTCAATTTTTATACATACAACTAGGGACGGGAGGTCCAATCCCTGCTCACGATCGCTTGACACTAGTTTAATTCAATTTTTATACATACAACTCGACAATACGATCGCTTGACACTAGTTTAATTCAATTTTTATACATACAACTAGGGGCGGGAGGTCCAATCCCTGCTCACGATAGCTTGACGCTAGTTTAATTCAAATTTTATACATACAACTAGGGGCGGGAGGGCCAATCCCTGCTCACGATCGCTTGACACTAGTTTAATTAAATTTTTATACATACAACTAGGGGCGGGAGGGCCAATCCCTGCTCACGATCACTTGACGCTAGTTTAATTCAATTTTTATACATACAACTAGGGGCGGGAGGTCCAATCCCTGCTCACGATCGCTTGACACTAGTTNCTATAGATGATTCATAATGAAAACTCTTTTGGTGATGTATTTATAAAATACATGTTTAGTATTCTACGTGCATAATTTTCATTGCGCAGATAATGTGAGAAGGAATTTAGCTGGAATTCGAATACTAAAATTAAGTTTCATAATAACGGAAGCGGTAATTTAGTCGGGTTTTGGTTACATAAAAGCAGTTATATAAATATTCAGATACCGCTTATCTATTCTTTTTACGGCAAAAATATTAAAATAAATCGAAAACAAGACAATTTAGACTTACTTAAATAGCATTTAAATATGCTCTATTAGATAAAAATATATACACGCGTAAATGAATAGAATTTTCAAAATAAAAAAAAAGAATTAAAAAAATATTATTAAAAATTATGCTT